CGCGCCCTCACGGCCGTTGACCTTCGCGAAATGTTCGCGGTTCCGCAGTCCTGCACCGGGCCGGGCATGTTGAACAAAGGAAGGAAGATGGCGGGGGGGGGGAGAGGAGGGGAAGACGGGGAAGAGACGGGGAAGCGCAGACCGAAGAGAATGGTTCATATTGGCTAGGCGGGACTACTTAGGGGTAGTGGCAGGTGGGTGGGTGGGGTAGCTCGTTGGGCGATAGGACCCCTGGGGCAGGTGCACGGGCAGGTGCAGGGGCAGCTGCACGAGCAGGTGCGGGGGCAGGTGCATGGGCAGGCGCGGGGGAGCAGGGCCCGGAGAGGATGACACCACATACAATAGGCAGGCCCAGCCAAGCGTTGGCTTCGATAACCATCGGGTTGGGGCCGCTAAACGCACACGCAGAACCCCCCGTCATGGCGTCCTTCTTCTTTGGCGGAAAAAAAGGCCGTTTTTGGTGGAGACGGGGTGAGGGTTGGGGGGGGGGGGGGACCATGACACGGGTAAGGGAGACTATCGGATCGTGCCCAAGGCCCGGGGGCGCGCACGCGGAGCGGACCGTACAGGGACAGCTGGACCGCCGGACCGGACGGCCCAACACCCTACACCAAAATCAAGTGCATTCTCTTGAAAAAAAAAATGTGCACGCATTCGAGTTAACCGGGTGCGTGCAGTTGTTTTAAAAAATGCATACCAGATTTCGATTACCTGTCTTTATGGGTGCAAAGCTACTTGCCATCACCACCAGGTTTGGTTTGTTATATGAGAAATGGCAAAATTGAATTGCTAGTTCGTTTTTTGTCCCTTCTTAAAAATCACTGGTGAAAAGTGTGAAAAGGGCGCAAGTTCAATGCAGAGTTCGTGGAGTTACGCCCTTTTCCACCCTTCCCACTTTTCACCAGTGAAGTGTGTTTGTGTGCAGTGTACGCAGCTGCAGGTGCGCCGCTAATGAACTTCCCTTTTGCATATGCGACGGTGGTCTGTCTGTTATTTGACCGTCGGTCCGGAGTGACGTAATTATTAGTTTAGCAATTACCAAGGAGGGGGTCGGGGTCGGGGTGTCATCTTGTCCGCGGTGACTGACAGCAGCAGGCTACTGCAGCTTGCAGGCCGACGGGAAAGGGGGCCCGGAAATCACATCTGCCTAAAAATAAAAATAAAAAAATAACAAAAAAACATTTTAAAAACTCTTTACTTCAAATGACACGGCAAAGAAAACAGTATATTAAGGTAATTAAATGAAAACTTTTAAAAAAGTAACGAAAATCATCTGCCACTGGCAAAAAGTAAACTTTTGCCCCCAAAATCACGATCCCACAGTATAGTTTGCGAACGAGGATACGCGCACGCGGTATGAGTTGGTCCGCGTTTTAATGGACTACTGTGCCCCCCGCCCCGCCCGCAAGTCCGGTGCCGTCTCGTCACGGTCAAGGCGCCCGGGGCCCGGCCCAGCCCGCCCCGGCCCGGCCGGGTACATCTTGGCCTTCCTTTGTGCACCAGTCCTGCCGGCGCTGCCGCAGGTGTGGAGGAAGGGGTGGGGGAGGGAGTTCCCAGGGCGCGCAGCAGCGGCACAGCGGCACGCGTCCCCGGGGAGAGACGAATGTTCTGAGGGAAATGTACTACAACCGGAGCAGACGACATGACATGAGACGACCTGCATGTCGCTGGACATATCGCCGTCACATAACGCCACAAAACAGACATTACACTAACACTCCCCC